AATATTAAAAAAAAAAAAAAAAGTCTTAAATAAATTAATAAGAAAATCAATAATTCTGTAAAACAAATATGGTAATTTAAATTATTTAAAATAATAAATACAATTCACCATAAAAAAATAAAACAAATCCTTTTTTACTTTTATGGATTCTGAATAAATTAAATACACACATAATTCTACAATTTTGAATAAAAAATACAATCTTGCAAACGTAATATTTAAAGTCTTAGCTAGAATTCTAAAATTTTCCTTAAAAATAAAGAAAACACTAAGTGAAAGTCAAAAGGATTTGTTTTATTGCTAATTATATTATCTTTCATTAAAACTGTTATAAATTTACAATTTGAATTAAATATATTTATCAAGTTGATATATTCTTCAATTCTCAACATGTTATGTTAAAAAATAATTACATAAATTATTTATATAATCTTAACAAGTTTATTTATAATTTATATTCATATTTTTGTTTACTGTCTTATTTGTAAGATAATTATCAAATTGAGTTTTGAAATACAGAAAGAGTGATACTTTATGTACTTCAAATAATATAAGTTATATTAAATTTTTTTACATTGTTTGACTCCAAAACTTCATACTTCTATAGCAATATACTCTAAAAAATTATTAAATATTAGATAATAAATATCTCTGTGTTGAATTATCATGGTATATAATATATCAAGAGATTTAGATTCATTAATCTTAAGTTTTTAATGACATTCAATTGTGGGGTAGAAATAAAACTATAAAAGTAGCAATTGTGAGGGAATAACAAAATAACAATAAATAAAAACAATGTTTTAAAGTTTGATATGCAGTGAGTTTAACAATCTTCTCTTGTACTATTGAAAACTCTTATTTTATGAAAATTTAGAATTGACTGTATCCAGTATATTTTTCTTATTAATATGGAATTTGATGGACGTGAGTATTTCACATATTTCAGTGATGAGTTGGCAAGAGGCTAGAAAGATGATTCTTGAGCACTAATATTATCTCTAACTTCCTATTCAGAAAACAATAATTTCAAGCTATAGAAATGTAACATTTCCTCTCTTTTTCCAATATAATTCTGTTTTTGCAACAAACAAATTTCTTCACTTGAAAAAGTTTTAGAAAGAAAACATTCCAAAACATCTTGAGTTTTATACTTTGATGATATTAACTACAACAATTTTTATATTATCAATAGCACTAATAATAGTATAGTTTTTATTTTCTATATTGACCAATATTTTGTATTTATAACAAATATGTGGTGATCAAGTTTCTGCCACATTTTCTAATGAAACATATAAAATCTTCTTTCATAAGCAGAACATTCATAAAACAACAGGAAAAACAACAATTCATTCAATGATGGTGAATATAATTGGTGGAATTAAAGATTATTTTAATGCACATCAATGACAGGCAATTACAGTATATCAGTTTCATAAATTTTATTTTGAGCTACTTTTGCAACAGGGCTACGTGAAATTCCTTGTGATGGTGAAGTGTGCCCTGTGTGATTAACTATATTGCTAGTAACTGCTAAATGAGTCATAGAACCTGATGATGGTGTCAATGATAATGCAGCTTTAGATAAAATATTACTTTCACTTCCTGTTTTTTTCAAATCGCCAATAGTTGTTGATGATCCACTGCGAGGTGGAGAAAATCGTAGTTGCCCCCTTTGCATTTGTTGAAGTCGAGCATACTGCTCTTGTAACTGCTTTTGTTTTTTTAATAATTCTTGATGACGTTGTTCAAGAAGTTCTTGCCGCATTTTGTTTGGTGTACGGGGTCCTTGCTTTTTGGTATTTTCTTCATATTCTAAAGAAACATTACTATCAGTTGATGATTGTCTACTAGGAGCTTTTTTATCTTTTGCTATTGCTTTGCCATGAAGTATCATTTGTAATCCTTCTTGTGAGTTAACACTTTCACTACTGCTACTATTACTTGAAAGATGCTCTCTGGGAAATGTATCATCATCATTAATAGCACTAGTTCGCACTATTTCTGTTGTATTATCAAATGAATCTTGTTTAGATGCTGAAACTGATCTATTTGTAATAGGCTTTTTTATATTACTTTCAGATTTACTGGCAGGCTCAGAATTACTCCTCATATGACCATATGTTTTGGAAGTTGAATCAAATTTTTGTTTTGGTGATGTTGGATTAGTAGGTGAAGCTACAGGAGAACAGCTGGTTGTTCTTGGAGGTGGTGGTGGTGGCACTTTTTTCTGAGCAGTCTGAGCAGGTTGTTGTAAGGATTCTTGAACTTCAATCGATTTTCTTAAACTGCTAATAAGAGCTTGTGCATGTTCATGAGAATATGGGGAAGTTCTACCATCTGAGAAAGAAGGAGTTGGAGAAAGACTAAGGCTGCGCTTCCCCATTCCAACTTGAAGTTTGCTACCTGTAGCGCTGTGACCCTGACTTCCAGTTGATAAGGTTTTATGTACATGAATAGGTGTCCGAACTGGAGAATCAGCACTAGGATAAGAAGGAAGACGTCTCTGAGGACCACTTTTCCCTGGAATAAAATCCCTTTTGGCATCACCTACTTTAGTTAAGTATTGGAGATCATCCAACAGTGTATCCAAAGTGGTTTCTGATTTCTGAGTCTTCTGATGACCATCAGGTGGAACATGGATTACTGTATGACTATCTGAATCAACAATCTGTAAACAACATTTATGCTAAAATATATGAATTTTTCAAAATATTCAACTATAATTTTAAATTAAATAATATTCCTTCAAAATACAAGCAAATGTAAAAGTTAAAATGTTTATTTATAAAATTTTAAATTCAAATTATTCAAAACTAAAAAATAATAATAATTTAAACAATGTAATTAGCAACAGTTTTTATTGAAGTGCAAAATAATACAAATGTGATAAAACAGTAATATCATGTAATACATTTTATACTAGTAAAAATTTTTCTTCTGATGAAAGTGCTGTACATTTTTATATGGTTTATGTAGGATTTCAATCTTTTTACAATAATGAATAATAAGTTAGTAACAAGTAATGCAATTTATTAATATTTTTGTTTTTAGTAGAAACATTGATATCCTATTAAAATTAATATTAGTTAAATATATAAAATCAGCATCTATGATAACAGTATTAAATTTCTCAAATTAATGTTGTAAAAATTTAGATTATTATTTTATATACTATATTGTCTATCATCATATTATTTTCTACATATTCGTGAGGCAAATTAGTTATTAGAACTCAATGATCTTGATAATACTCAGACAAAAATGCTTATTTTTTTATATGTTATAATGGTTTTATATATAATTTGAAGTGTAACAATAAATTCATATCAATAAGTAAATTATAAATTAAAAACATGCCCAATGTCCAGTAACTATATGTATAATTAAATAATGTCTAGTTGAAATAATTATTTACCAAGTAAGTCTTATCTTAGAACCTTTACTTTGAGTTGTTGATGTGCATAATATTACATAGATTAATATTAAATAATAATAACGTTAATCTTCTACTACATAAAAATCAAAAGTCTACTGCATTTGAATTTTGAATTGTTTTTTCCATTTCCATTCCATTCCCCTGATGATGATGATTATATGATAATTATTGAAAGTCCTCACAATTAAAATGTAACTTTTGAGTCAGTTTTCGTGCTAGTACTGAAGACAGTTTGTTTTTATCATTATGAGTGTATCTTGATGTTTATCTGAAGTATGTTTGATATTCAATTATTTATGGAAAGCACAATGCATTGATAACAAATGACAAATAAATAATGTTCAGTAATTTATTAAATTATATAAATTTGAACAATAATAAATAATAAGAATTTTATATCTATATTTTTTTTTGTACTGTACATACATATAATCAGTACCTTTAAAAGCATTTTTATTTATAATGTTATAAAAATGTTTTACAATGATTTTATCTAGTAAAGTCTAATAATAATTTTATAACAATGTTTTGTTTTGAACCAATACAAAAAAGATATTATTTTTTTTATATTAAATTATATATATTACCAAGTGATTGTAAGTGAAGTATCCTCCCTATTCAACACTGTTTAGAGATGTATTTAGCAGTTCAAGTGCAATCAAATCTGTTATTGTGACAGTTTAGGATGTGAAAGTCATTTTCATAAAAAAAAATTAAATACCAAAACTTACTGCTATGGCATTTTTTGCACTGCAAATATCAAACATTTTTTGTAAAAGACACTCATACTATACAGAAACCTGGCAATGCAGAGGATACTGTTGAATGTAGTCCATATTCTGAAGGTGCAAAACCTGAAGCTGGAACAGTATGTTTATTGGTCAACTATAATTGATTCTCTGATTCTCATATGCATTGTTATATATTATCTTTCAATGCTGCCAAATTTTTAACAAGTTCTCAATAAACCACACTTTTTTAATGTTTCCAAAACTAAACATTACACTTACTTAACTGCTGTATGCAGTGTTCCATATATAGAGGAACTCCATCTTGCCTGAAAGTGATTGACTTGAGGCATTGTTGCTGACAGTTGGAATATATCTCTCAGTATCTTTGGGCTATCACAGAACATCATGGGCCCAAATGAAACCAGCTTCTTCAAAGAATGGTCCAAGAATATATATGGCTGTTAATACATACCAAAGCAACTTTAGGCAATTATAATAAATTTGCTAACAAACCCATGTTTTCTAGCAGATGAGCATTTTACCTCATCTAATAGATGAAATAAATATGTGCCTCATTCCTCCACAGGATTTTCTATTGAAATACATGACATATCTACTTCCATTCTGGTAACAAAGGTCAATGCAAAGATCACAAGTTCCCAGTTGTCAACAAACAACTGTGGTTGACTGATCTTATGCACATAACAATGCAAAAACATTCTCGATATCTTCCACACTGTGCCATTAGATAAACCCAGTTGTCACTACTGTATATATAATATTGAAACATTTATTTATTGACTATTCAACAACAGCTATGGTAACATCTTTGACCACATGTGAATTGATAGGTTTAAGGCCTTTACCAGGTTAAACTTCCAGACATCCAGTTATCAAGTTTCTTTGAATTGAAGGTCATTCTCCTGAGAGCTTGTGGAATCAATGGTCCTTGATGTAAATTCTTACAATAACAAAATTCTGGAAGAGCAGCCACAACATTGTCATTGTTTTCAAAAACAACTTCATTAGAAATGCAGGTACAGGCAAGGTGATGTCCATAAGAATGACATTCAACAGTGCAACCTAGAACTTGATTGTAACATATGTGATTATGTAAAAGAAACTGCTTTTTTGTTGCTTGCAATACCAAAATTGCCAAAGCAATAAGTTTTGGTGCTAATTTTGTTTTTAGAGCAATGTCTTCTGCATGTCCTAAAATTCCACTGAATGAGATTTGGTTGCATTTTGACTGCTAAATCTCTCTTTTCACAGCATTGAATAGTGGTACTTTAATTACAATGATGAAATATATAAAATAACAACATGAAACTATGGTTACTATTTCCTTTATTATAATTATGCAATAAAGATTTCATTTCTTAAACAGAAACTTATCTTAGAATCTCTCAAAAAATTTCTTGTCACACATAGCTTATGTTGAGAAAATTTCTTTTCAAAACACTAGTATGATTGATTGTATAATGTGTAACTTTATCATTCTTATTATTTTGCAATGTTTTAAAATTTTAAACTATAATAATAATGCAAACCATAAATGTTTAGAATTTAAAAGAAAAAAATTTAAAAATTTTATTTTATTTTTCTTTTAAATTTTGAGTAACTTATATACCGTATTTACTCGCTTATAAGACAATCTTGCATGTAGGACGAGGTGTGACTTTAAAGATCAAAATAAAGAAAATTAGATTTATTAATACAATTTAATTTTATTTTGTTTAATCACAAATAAAATGTCAAATGCACATAAATGCACACATTATCCCACAAAAATTACTGGCATTTTAAACTTTAAGAAAAAATCTTGTAAAATCAACAACATAATTTGTTTATATAAAGCTGGACAATTATGGGGAACCTTTTTTGCCAATTCTTAACAATCAAATCCACTCTCCATTGATTACACTTATGAGTTTCTCCGCAATCTGATTTCCGAATAATCATCTCTTTTCACCTGGGAATGGATTAAAACTTATATTAGCTCCCGTGTGATTTTGGAATTTCAAATTGGAATTCAATTCAAAAGCTTTGCTTTTCCTATTGCTATTCATCTTTACTCCTGACAATACACAAGAATGATTGAAACAACCCAGATAAAATACTTTTGTTTTTAAATTAAACACCAGAAGGTGAGCATCTGGTAAAAATGCAAACACATGGTTCACAAAACTTATTGCAAAAATGCAAAGAATCCTTTGCTCGCACGTACAGGATGACCTAGGTTTTTGAAGCAATAAAAAATGAATAAAAACCTTGTCTTATATGTGAGTAAATACAGTATGTTTGTTATAATCCATTATATAAATATTAAAAGCAAAAATTTATTAAAACATGTAGTGATTCATATAAACTTTTAACTTGGACTTCCTGTATGTTGGGCCACTGATGGAGAAAAATATATGATAGAAAATGTAGCAAAAATAGATCCATGTGCAATCCTTGTTATATCATATGCAAGCATAGAAAACTTTAAAAATTGCTTATATAAAACTGTGAAAATACAATTGTATGAAAGCATTGTTTACTAGGTCAGCAGCTTACATCTTATAATATAAAATTCTATAAATAATGCAATTGCAGAGGAGCTAACATGACTGTAATCACCATATTTATTATTATTGTTTTTGAAGATGGATTGTTTCCTACTTGGTGTATACTAGAGCTTAATACCATACTTGCCAATATTACATTATAAGTGAAGATGACTTGATAGATAGAAAAGGCTGATTTTAGAATGCAAAGGTAGAGAAATAAAAACACAATTTGTAGATTGTCAATAAATTTGCAACATTTTAACCATTTATTCAATTTTCATTCTCTTTATCACAATAATAAATTTATAATATTAGCTACTCCTGCTAGATAGACTACTAGTAGTAAAAAAGTAGGCTAGAATAAATAATAATAGTACACTGTAATGTACTGTATGTAATGAGTACTGTATTATATAAAAAGTTATTTATCTATAGAAAAAATTGCAAAAATGAATAATTCCCTAGAGCTTATAACCTAGAGCAGTGGTGTCAAAACTATGATCCCTGAACCAAATCCAGTCCATGAACATATTTGACACATCACTTGTAAATTATAGAAATAGGCCGACATTTCGAATATATGAAATATACAAAACATATGTGATCTGCTTACCTATGACTTTATGCCAAATTTGGCTCACCAATTAACAAGTTTGGCCTAACCAGTGAACTAAAACTTGTGATTTTAGCATGTGACAGATTTACAAGCACTTTCAAATCAATTTTCTCCTTATTAAAGAGTGGAAGATTTCATATCTACCACATTTTTACAATAATTTTTCATAACTTAATCAGAAATTTAAAGCTACCACTGAAATTCTCATGTCTGACAATATTTAACTCAAAGAAAATGTTAATGTTGTTGAGTGAACAATTTCTAAAACCCATCATATAAGTAAGCTCAGGCTTTTACAGTGGCGTGGCATGACATTTCACGATAGGGAAGCTG